CCTTGTCTATCCCATCATGGCCATCGCCCACGAAGGACTTGCCTCACTAGCGGTAGATCTTCACGAAGTAGGCGATCTCCTTGCCCTTACAAGCTCCTTGGTTCAACTCCACAATCTTGCCGGAGGCTCCCAAGTGACACCTAGCCAATCTAGGAGACACCACTCTCCAAGAAGTAACAAATGGTGTGTTGATGATGAACTCCTTGCTCTTATGCTTCAAATGATAGTCTCCCTAACACTCAACTCTCTCTCACAGGATATGGATTTGGTGGAAAGAAGATTTGAGTGGAAAGCAACTTGGGGAAGGCTAGAGATCAAGATTCATATGGTGGGAATGGAATATCTTGGCCTCAACACATGAGTAGGTGGTTCTCTCTCAGAAAATGTGTATTGAAAGTGTAGGTATGTTCTGATGGCTCTCTCCATGAATGAAGAGTGGGTGGAGGGGTATATATAGCCTCCACACAAAAACTAATCGTTACACACAATCTACCAATCTCGGTGAGACCGAATTGAGAAACTCGGTCGGACCGATTTAGCAAACCTAGTGACCGTTAGGATTTTCGGTGGGACTGAGATGCAACTCGATAGGTCCGATATGGTTAGGGTTAGGGCATAACGTAATCTCGGTGTGACTGATTACACAAACTCGGTGGGACCGATTTTGGTAATAAGCTAACCAGAGAGTTGGTCAGGTAAACTCGATGGGACCGATTTGCTCATTTCGGTGGGACCGAAATGTTACAAAAGGGAAACAGAGAGTTTACATTGCAATCTTGGTGGGACCGATCGCTCATCTCGGTAGGACCGAAACGTTATGAAGGGAAACAGAGAGATTACAACCCCATCTCGGTGTGACCGAGATCCCTATCAGTGAGACCGATTTGCCTAGGGTTTGTGGCAGTGGCTATGACATCTGAACTCGGTGGCGCCGGATAGAAAGAATCGGTGGGACCGAGTTTGACTTTTGGTTTAGGTCATATGTGGATGTGGGAAGGTAGTTGAGGGGGTTTTGGAGCATATCACTAAGCACTATGAAGCAAGAACCTCATTAAGCAATACCTCATCCCTCCTTAATAGTATTGGCTTTTCCTATAGACTCAATGTGATCTTGGATCACTAAAATATAAAATGTAGAGTCTTGAGCTTTGAGCTTGAGCCAATCTTTTTGTCCTTAGTATTTTGAGGGGTCCACTTTCCTCATCCATGTCATGCCATTCATTGAGCTTTTCCTGAAATATTAATCTTGGAATAGTATTAGCTCAATGAGCTATATGTTGTTAGGAATTACCAAAACCACCTAGGGATAGTTGCACTTTCACCTTCTTCCTAGATGGGAGAAAGGTTTCCCCTCTGGTCCATGGTCTCCATGGAGGCGGAGGGGCGAGAGCCCCTTCGAGATTGGATCTATCTCTCTGTCTCTCTCTGTTTCTGCGTTCTCAGATTCTGCCCTTTCACCGTTTCTTAAATTCTCGGTGATCCGTAACTCCGATTGGGCTGAAATTTTAACACGATTTCTATCCGGATATTAGTTTTCTTGCGGTGAAAGAAGGGCATCAACCGCCTTACGGGGTGGCCACGAGGGCCCAGGGCGCGCCTGCCCCCCTGGGCGCGCCCCCCTGCCTCGTGGCCCCCTCGAGCATCGTCTCGCGTTGATTTTTCTTCCCAAAAATCACATACATTCCAAAAAAAATCTCTGTCAGTTTTTATCCCGTTTGGACTCCGTTTGATATGGATTTACTGCGAAATAAAAAACATGCAACAAACAGGAACTGGCACTGGGCACTGGATCAATATGTTAGTCCCAAAAATAGTATAAAAAGTTGCCAAAAGTATATGAAAGTTGTAGAATATGGGTATGAAACAATAAAAATTTATAGATACGACGGAGACGTATCAACACCTCATCCCCTTTTAATAGTATTAACTTTCCTATGGACTCAATGTGATCTTGGATCACTAAAATAAAAATGAAGAGTCTTAAGCTTTTGCCAATATTTGTTCTTAGCATTTTGAGAGGTCCACATCTCTAGTCCATGCCATAGTAATCATTGAACTTTCTGACATAATCATCTTGAAAGGATATTAGTTAAATGAGCTATATATTGATATGAATTACCAAAACCACCCAAGGATTAGTTGCACTTTCATATGGGCGCAGGCGCAAGCGTGGAAGGCGCCACCACGCCCACCTAGGGGGAGCGTTCCCCGGAGAGTCGAGAGGCTTGCGGGTAGACGTGGAAGCCGTGCATCGGTTGCGTCGTCGATGCGCGGGGCGACTCGGGCAGCACCATCCGAGGAAATGCAGATGAGCCGGTGCTGTCCGCGGTCACGGCGGTGTTGACGACGCCGTGCTGGCCAGGGTTTAACCCTAAGTACATCAGCGCCTCCCTCGTTGCCGCCGCCACGCGGGCGTTGGTAGCCTCCTACTGGGCAGCGTCGGCGAAGTCGTCTGCCGTGTGCCTCCGACCCTTTTTCTTCGCCGACTCCCTTGCCCGCTCCTCGGGCGTCCGCTTCTTCTTCGGCCTGGGCGCGGCGGTGGTCTTGTGGGGGGCGCGAGGTTTGCCTTTGCCGGAGGGCCGATCGTGATGCCGGACGACGCGAGGGAGGCGAGGCTGGCGGTGGCATCGAGGTCGTCGTCCATGACGAGTGGCGAGAGCGCGCACGGGCGGGAAGAAAGTGGAGGGACATGGTGGAGGCTGGCACCGACTGGCGGGCCAGGGGTAGTAGTTGACGCGCGTCGCACGCGTCTGCCTCGCGTCCCCGCCGACGCAAATGAGACTTAAAAATGGGCTGGGTCGATAGGCGGATGAAAAGCGGACGCGCGTTCATTTAGGTCGGTGCGTTAGATTGACTTTTTTGTCCGCCACAATTCAAACGGATACGCGCGGACAAAATGGGTCGCCGCGTTGGAGTTGCTGACATTTGTTATCTCACACGCACAACCGAAGATCAGATATACGATGTGGTGGTGCTGAATCCGTGAGACGACGCGACAGCGTTTGTGCGGCAAGCTCCAGACAGGTGCGCCCAAAAGCCAAAGTTACTCGCACTTTTACGCTTTTTCACAGCCAAACGTCATCCGATTAACCTTTTTCGGATGTTGAAATGTCCCATGCAGACCCATCATCGATACCACTGCGCTCTGCTCGCTGCTCGCTGCTCGGGGTGATTAATACGTCCACCCAAGATTAGTTCACTGACAGTATTATTATTCACCGAAGCAAAGTACTCAAAAGGTGGCGTGCCAAGAAGAAAATACCAAAACATAAAAAAGACTCAGCTGCCGTCCGAATTTAAAAACACTCCTAACTTGCAACGAGATGCGACAATCTTCACTGGTCACTGCTTATTACTCGTCGTGCGGCAAGCACAAGTGTCAGCACGAAACCGTGTGGCATTTGGTCCGATGCAAACCGAAGCGCGTAGAGCGCCGCGTGCCGGGTGTAAAGGCACGCCGGACACTGTCAGTCAGCATACGATCCCGTCCCACACACAATGTAAATAAAATTATCAGACATGACCTATGCCTCGCGACTTGGAGGCGCAGCCGTCTTGAAATGATGTGAACGAGACACGTAACAAGTCAACCAGCGCGGTCAATGCTTTATACTAGCAATAATAACTTATTACAATCTGGGCACGGATCGGCCAGAGAGAAGAAGACGGCACAATCCCATCCGACACGATCCTGATCAAGCCTTTTACCAAACTGCGTACTCTGCTTTGTCAAACATACTCGTATAAAACGGTGCCTTTTTTATCTTCGCTTTGTCAAAGGCTTGCGCTTTTTGCACTTTAATCAGCTACAGAAGACTCGCATGAGTTCCGATGAACTTGAAATGTCCAACCCTGGGTCCCTCAGTTAACCGAAAGAAAAATTAACAGGTCTGACCTCGGCGGTATTTCTGATCGTCGTTAATTAGTGGGGGTAGGCTCCCACGATCCACATCCGACGATAGTCGTCGATCCGGTCCAAGATTATAACCAGTAGTTCGCGATCTCCTTGATGGTTCTTCTTCAAACGGATCTTGTTCAGGTTAGGCCCGGCGACCGGCGGCCAAGCACGGGCAAACCTGAAAAGTGAAAACACACGTGCAGGTCGCATTCGCGTCCGCGACAGAGGATCGCGTCGTGCCGGCTTCCATGTGGCAATGTTCCCACGTATACGTATACCTAATCCAGCAACATGGAGTACGCTGGCCGCTTGGAGTTCCCAGCCCAGCCTTTGCCTCTGCCTTGTGTAGTCGTGTAGATGTCGCCTAACAGTCGGGAGCAAAGCGCAGCACGGTACAACCTGTTTCCGGACTGACCGGACACGTCCACTTCGCGGCGGCGAATTCTCAGCCCGTCTTCACTCCGGGCCGATCTCTGTCAGGGCAGCATGTCCGGTGAAAACCCGGCCTGGCCGCCATTGCTCGCACGTCCGGCAGACAGTGACCGGACCTGCCGTTTGTCAGCTTCTCCCCGAGATCACTTTCCTCCTCCCTCGCAACTTGCCCGGAAGCCGGAGGCACGTCGAGCAGACACCGGTCGACGGGGCGGTCCTTGATGGCTAACGGGGAGCATCCGGCTTGACCTGCCCAACGTAAACGCATAGGCCATTTCAGCCGCGCGCTTTATCTGGCCACAGAATCGAACCAAAACACATATACAGTACACAGCTGACACGGGGCACGCGTATGCCCGCACCTGCACTGCACCTTGTAACACTGCCATCTTGGGCACAAACAAAGATCCCCAGGGCGACAGCGCCACCAGCCTCCCAGCGGGAAGGTCGGGTCTTCCATAACGCGTAAGCCTCGGCTTCCGCTCGCACGAGCAGAGCAGACGCGCGCGCGGCTCTCCTTTTATATAGGAGTATGTAGTATCTGAAGCGAAGCAGCGTCTCCCGCCGTAGCCAGCCTAGCAGACTCTCTCGAGCTGGAGGAGTACGATTACGATCCTACTGAGCGGAGAGTAAGCCGTCGATCCGTCAAGCTTTCTGCGGTTGAGCTTCCATGGGGAACTGCTTCGGCTCCGAGGAAGCCGAGGTGGAGGCCGTCAAGCAGGGCGGCGTGCAGGGCCACGAGCACGGACATGGACGCCCTCAAGGTAACGCCACTTCTCCCCAGTGCCATTTTGCAGCCGTCTTGGTCCTGAAATCTTACTCAGATTCGCTTCGCTCACTCAATTCCGCGTGGCTCACTCGCTAATTTCCTGTTCGCATGATCAGCGATTGCAAGCCGCGGTGCTCCTCCCATGGCGGCGCCCAAGGCCCACGTCGCCGCGGGCGGCAGGAGGTCCCCGGCCTCGTCGTCCATGAGCAGCGTCACCACCCGGAGCACCAGCGCCAGCACGTCGGCGGGCGGCGGCGCGCAGGAGGGGGCGGAGCCGGAGGGCAGGATCCTGGAGGCGCCCAACCTGCGCATCTTCACGTTCGCGGAGCTCCGGGCGGCGACGAGGAACTTCAAGCCGGACACGCTGCTGGGCGAAGGCGGGTTCGGGCAGGTGTACAAGGGGTGGGTCGACGAGAAGACCATGAACCCGGCGCGCAGCGGCACCGGCATGGTCATCGCCGTCAAGAAGCTCAACCAGGAGAGCCTGCAGGGCCTCGAAGAATGGCAGGTACGCACGCACGCGCCACTCCACCTACCACCAGCTCAACCACACCCATCGCCATTGAAGCCGGCCGGGTCGTTAGCTCGTAGTAGAGAAGTGAAAGAAAGGCGCGCACGCGATCCGGCGGTCCATTTTCTTGACAATCCGGCCCAGAAATGGCGAGAGGATATGCCGCTAAAACTAGCTCGAGCTTACAAAATGGGTTTTTTTTTAAATGGGTACAAAATTGGTTACCGGCACCAATAATTGCCGGCGTGGCTAAGCCTGAGCCAGTTCCACACGGCGCGTTCACATGGCCGGCCAGACGGTCAGACCATCTCTTTCAGATGTTCATACATTTGTATACACTGTACGCAGTTGTTAATTCGCTGGAGTACTGACCACACCACACGTGACACATAAATTTTAGTTGCAGCACAGGTTGGTGCCGTTCTGGTCCCATTTCTCGCGCAGATCATGGTCTGCTGCTAGGCCGAGCAATTTTGCCGCGGTATAGCTGTTTGAGCATGGTGCCGCTATTTGGCATAACCCGCTAGCTATTTAAAACTACGGATCTAACCCGTGGCGCGGGGTGGTAATTTCTTGCAGTGCGAGGTGAACTTTCTGGGGAGGATATCGCACCCGAACCTGGTGAGGCTGCTGGGGTACTGCCTGGAGGACAGGGAGCTGCTGCTCGTCTACGAGTTCATGGCCAAGGGCAGCCTGGAGAACCACCTCTTCAGAAGTGAGTCCTCCTCCTCTCCTATCGCTGCAGTTATTTTTCCTGTCCGTTTCTCTGCAACTTCACCCGTCTGGTCTGATGTCGACTGGGTTGACCTCTTCTGACAACGATCTTGGGTTGCCTACGCTAACTAAGTGTGATGGGATGGGATGGTCTACTCGCAAAAGCCAAATAAACTAGGGTGAAGGTGATGTGATTGTCATCATCAAACTGCTAGTATGGGATTACTTCCTCAGTTGTGCCAACCGATAGTATAACGACATGCCAAAAAACTGGGACCTGGGCATGCATGACCCGGTCCCGGTACCCGGACGGTGATTAGGACCCCTGGGCCAGAGACAAAAAAGGCCGTCCGGTTTGTATCGTACGCCCGGAGCCCACTTGTGTCTAAAAAACAAATAAGATTGTTGAGATCATTTTTTTGTTTTCTTTAAGAAACATGAAAGAGTTTTCCCCCTAAATAAATTGAAGTACTAGTAACATAATTTGAACAATCAATTTAATCTTGTTGGGAACTTTAAAACAGGATTAAAGTTGGACATACTTGGGTACCATCAAAGATATGTTCATGTTTACTTGTGATATTGTCTGTACAAACTATGAAATTTTCATGACTATATTTTAATGTCCGTTTTTCCTTGAATTAGTGTAATATTTCCTATGAGTTACAAGCATGCTAGGGAAAATTGGGAAATTAAAGAACACAAGTATAATTTCCAATAATTCTCAAAAGGATATTTTGTCTCCATCCGAAAAAAAAATTGGCCAGGCCTAGAAAGGGTGGGCAGCAACTTGCTGGATTTCAAAGCCCAACAATTCTTGTGGACAATACAGGCCCATATATACTTTTTTTTCCTCTTATAAATGTGCCTTTTAACGGCCTACCGATTACTTTGAGTACCCCTAAAAACACCTATTACTTTGAGCACTTGAAGCTCCAAAAAATGCACGCCTTAAATTCATAAATAAAAAAATCCACGCCTTAAAATGGGTGTAAATGCGGATAGGGAGTTTATAAGCTCAAATTCACCCTTGTGTGCAATAAAGTCAGAAAATAATTTAAAAAATTAGCAACAAACATTGTTGAACGTTCTACATACCTGCAAATTTCCATGAAGAAAAAACATTCATAGTGCTCTCAGCAAAAAAAAAGAAACTAAAAAGGCTATTTAAAAAAATATTTTGTAGAGCTCATTTTTGTTGTGTTTTTCCTAGACCACCACAGATGTGATTTCATCACAAAAAATTGCGCACAGGAAGAGAACTAAGTAATGCTTGTTGTAACAAAAAAACTATTTTACGAGTTTACTGCTCGTAGTGGTAGCATATGACCTCGAGAGTAGAAGGACATTGTTACTATAAATGTGCTTTATTAGTTGAAGCAAACTAAGTCAAGATGATGAAATTAACATGCATTTCGCGGTTGCAGAAGGCGGATCTGTCCAGCCCATCCCATGGGGCCTGCGGCTCCGGATCGCCATCGACACCGCCCGCGGCCTCGCCTTCCTCCACTCGTCGGAGAAGCACGTCATCTACCGAGACTTCAAGGCTTCAAACATCCTCCTCGACACGGTACGCGCAACGCCTCTTCCATTGCAACAAACCAAAAAACGGCGAAGTTCCACACGCCAAACCTAATTTGTATCTCGCTCTCCTCATCATCATGCAGAACTACAACGCCAAGCTCTCCGACTTCGGCCTGGCGAGGAACGGCCCCACCGGCGGCGACAGCCACATCACCACCCGCGTGATGGGCACCTACGGCTACGCGGCGCCGGAGTACGTGGCGACGGGCCACCTGTACGTGAAGAGCGACGTGTATGGGTTCGGCGTGGTGCTGCTGGAGATGCTGACGGGCCTGCGGGCGCTCGACACGGCCCGGCCCGCGCAGCAGCTGAACCTGGTGGACTGGGCCAAGCCGTACCTGGCGGACCGGCGGAAGCTCCCCCGCCTCGTGGACCCGCGGCTGGAGGGGCAGTACCCGTCCAAGGCCGCGCTGCGGGCCGCGCAGCTCACACTGAGCTGCCTCGCGGGCGAGCCCAGGAACCGGCCCTCCATGGCAGAGGTCGTGACGACCCTGGAGGAGATCGAGCGGATGCGGCCGCGGCACCGGCGCGCGTCGCCGGAGGAGGACAGGGAGAGCGGCAGCGGCGCGTCGTCTCGGAGCGCGGCAGGGCGGAGCGAGCGCCACGGGCACAGGCACCAGCAGCAGTCGCCGCGGCCGAGGTCCGGGACGGACGGCGCCCGGAGCGGCCACCCGTCTCCTCGGGTGAGATGACGCTGGCCCAGAGCGAGCTGACTGACTGAGATCTCTCTCGTTGATCGTGATTCGCTGCCGGCTTTTCGGCCCAGCTTTCCCTGTCTTGGGCTTCTCCTGGGCACGTTCCATACTTTCGGCCCACCGGTGCAAAGTGAGGCAGGTCTGGAATTCAAGATGGAGAAAATGTTGGAGAGAGCCCAGTTCTGATCCAGAATCCAGCATCGACATGTCTATCTCATTTCATCAAGTTAACACACGCACATGCGTATACTAATTGCTCTTGGAGGGCGCCAGTGTTGGAATGATGCTCCCTTCTCCTTGACCCAGTATCTGCAAAACTAATTGATGCACCCTCATTGTACGAAAGCAAACCTTTTCTTTTCTTTCTTTCTTTTTCCGGGTTATCTTAGATTTTGATGTATATAACTAGTTTATATGTGACAAAAGTTACTTGTTGTAGATTAGATGATGTGGAGGTCCTGAACGGAAACATGGATGTATTAGCTCCCTGCTGATTGAATTTAATTTGAATGCACGGTTGCGCCTGTTCGGTGAGCAGGCTTTGGGAATGTTTATGGCTAGTGTATATCCAAACAATGCACTGTTATTACTGTACGTACATGTGCGCGCTGTCTGTACTTCTCGTTAGGTCGCTCCACAGTCCACACCGCAGAGAAATGCAGCGCAGCAGCGTGCATGCATGATGGGAGTCAAGTTCGATCTCCCCGCTTAAAGAAGCCGGCTACCATGTTCTGTAGCATACTGACCGTCCAATTTACAGCTTCATTGAATTTTTGTCCGTGCGCTCTTCAAGGGCATGGCCTATCCCACCTCTGAACATTCCCGTCCCTACACGCGAATGTGCAGTCGCATGCTCTGCTCACGTACTGCTCGCCCATGCAACTTGGTCTCGCGTGCCGCCACGCGCATGCTGCTGCGCTAGCTGATGCATGAACGGGAATCTTATCCGATATCTTCGTGACCCCGGCCGAGATATTCGATACACTTCTGATGCAGAAGAAAACAAGCACGGAGGAAGATGATGTGCTCGCTTCGCGTTCCCTGAATTCACACCCCTGTTCCCTCACGTCCCCGCCTCCCCGGTGTAGATGCGTGCCGTTGGCGGCGTTGGCGGTGCCGCGTCGGCTTGATTGTCAGGTTTAGGTGGACGTGACATGACTGACTTCCAACTCTGCATGTGTCCACAACCGCCCGGCAGACCGCTAATTAAACCCCACGACTCGCCACCTTGGCTGGTGGATGCACGCCTGCACGGCTGCACCTACATCGGCGCTCCTGATTTATTGGTGCTCTCCGGTGGGCTGCGGAAACGGATGCACGCCCCGGCCGCGCGCGCCAGGGTGACCACGCTCCGCGCAACGCATGGCAGAAGGGCTCCATGCATGGCTGCAATCTGGCTGATAGCTGTCGACGCTTTGCAGTTCCCAGACAAACAGGTTACGATTCAGACTTGGAGCCTCGTCCTTTCTGTTTGCCGCGGCCGGGTGCTCGACGCCTGGCCGGCTCATCCCAGCGCCACCTCAAGTGCTCTCTCCGGGCACTGTAGCCCGCGCGCCGTGCTGCAGTTGACACGAGCAAGATCGAGTCAGCGCGCGTCAGGCTAGCCAGACTCTGTAGCGACCGCCGATCGGTCTGCACTTGTCTGCAGCGGCTGCGTGTGTAGCGTGAGCGTACAAAGGTGCACCGCGTCCATCGTTTTGCCGTCGTTCTCAATGATGGTTTCGCGGGCAGGGCCCAGGTATATGCTGCGGAGCCCTTGATGAAAGCGAAGAAGGACAAGGTTTACATCAGCAGCGATTTGGAATGGACCTGCCGATCACATGGGTGACGGGTACATATCCGATCGACTGATTGGTTCATCTCCAATTTTGCAGTACATTGGAGATGCGATACTCTGCTTAATTAGTTGGCGGTTAATCGGGAGCAGTCAGGTGGTACTGCGAAATTGAATCCACCCAGCGGCTCTCCTCCGTGTGGTTGCTCTCATAACTACTTCCTCTGTATCAAAATATAAAAACGTTTTTAACACTACACTAGTATCAAAAACATTCTTATATTATGGAACAGAGAGAGTACTTCGGATTAACTGCCCTAGACCGTACGAATGTAACGGTCAAAGATAGCAGCTCTGCTTAGGTTCCTTATATGGCGGAACCAATCCACAAAGGTTTAAGTCCTAAATTTGGTATTGATCATCGGTTTTTTTTTGAATTTATTTCAGATTTTTTGATAAGGTGCTTCAAAAAATACCGAGTCTATGACGAACTACGAAGTAATTTGCCTAAAAAACTGTGAAAGTAATGGAAATAATAATCCTACATTCATGGACTATTTACAGCAGTTGTAAGGAATATACCAACTATAATCTCTTATATCCTGAATCTCATGGGATGGGCTTCTCCTCTCTCCTTACATCTCCAACAAAAGTGTGCCATCTAACTAGGATCCGTAGAGGCTCCATAACTCTAGCATTACTCGGATGGAAAACATGAAATCATAGGGCAGACAGCAGGGCCACATGGTCTCATATATTTTGTTACCGAAAAGGGCTCTCACCCCGTTTTATACATAAACGGGTTTGCTATTTAACAGTCAAGCGTTTTTCAATTCGTCAACATTCAAATTTGTGTCCGTCCGTTCTGCCGCAGAGATTCGTGCTAGTTTTCTTTTTTTCTTCGTACTGGCGCCCTGTTTTCTTCGGTTGGTTTTCTTTTACCGGGTTCGGTTTTTCTTTGTCTAAACCCGTAACCGCGCCCGTCCTGTTGTTTTTTTGTCCTGTTTGAATTTTGGAGTGGGTGTCGTGTTCGGGAACGTAGTAATTTCAAAAAAAATCCTACGGACACGCAAGATCATGGTGATGCATAGCAACGAGAGGGGAGAGTGTGATCTACGTACCCTTGTAGATCGACAACGGAAGCGTTAGCTTAACGTGGTTGATGTAGTCGTACGTCTTCACGGTCCAACCGATCCAAACACCGTTACTCCGGCACCTCCGAGTTCTTGGCACACGTTCAGCTCGATGACGCACCCCGGGCTCCGATCCAGCAAAGCTTCGGGGAGGAGTTCCGTCAGCACGACGGCGTGGTGACGATCTTGATGTTTAACCGTCGCAGGGCTTCGCCTAAGCACCGCTACAATATGACCGAGGTGGAATATGGTGGAAGGGGGCACCGCACACGGCTAAGGAACGATCGTGAAGATCAACTTGTGTGTCTAGAGGTGCCCCCTGCCCCCGTATATAAAGGAGCAAGGGGGAGGGGGCGGCCGGCCTAGAAGTGTGACACCCCAAAAATTTGGCCTTGTTTTATTAAATTAAAATTTTGCCAGGAATTAAAACTTTGGATTTCTGAGCTCCATTTTGATTTTTTTTACTCATTTCCTTCCCTGTTATGATGAGTTTTTCTCAAAGAGAAAACTTTTCAAATATGTCATTGGACTTGTTTAACCTCTCAAAAAGAAAAACTTTCCTTTTATCAATGTAACTAATTAACTAATTTAATTGCTTGATCTTTACTTTCTTGAAATTAGTTTTTCAAGGTTAAATGGCCATATTTGAACTACAACCATTTGATAGATTCACTTAAAATTTCCACAAAAATTTGGAGATGTCATGTTATGTTTTTAAATCACTTTTATGCAAAAATATATTTCATTCATAAAATATTTTGAGCTCCACAGCAAATTTTGTTCTCTGGTCCAGTGAGCAATTTTACACTACAACCTATTTAAATATTTTTTTAAAACTTCTACCAAAATTAGGGGAGGTCAGTAGGAGCCTATTATTCCACTTTGTACAAAAAACCTATTTATGTTCTTTGAAAAATTTGAGTGAATCAACCTCATCTTCATTCTGGACCAACTGGATGGTTTGTACAGCAACCATATTTTTGCTTGCTCTTTAGCCCTTGATTCTTTCTCCTACTTGTAGTCCTCCATGTTAAACCCTTAAGTCCAGGAGCATGCACCTTTTGAATCATTTTTGGTTCATGTAATAATGCTATCTATTTCCTGTCCAGTATTGAAGTTTTATAAAACTTGCACTAACAAGTTTCTCCTTTTGTCCAAATAACCTCACCACTCTCTCTTGCATCTAAGGAGATCTTGATCTGGAGATTTGGGCCACCCCAAGAGTTGCTTAGAAGCCTTTAACATTTTGTCAAACACCTGGTGTGCATGGCCAGTTTTGACATGATTTTGTCTTTGCATTGTGACCTTGCACCTCGGATCATACTAGCATGTCCACTAGGATTCCAGTTGCTCCTAACCTGGGTCTGTTAATTGCCAGCCTCGACCGCGACCTCTAGCGTGCTCTGGCATAGTGTCGAACACGTCCCGTGCACGCCCGGAGCGCGAGCAGAGCGCGCGTATTGCACGACCAGCGCCCGAGCTGACACGCTGGCCCCACGGCTTTGGCCCGCTCTGCAGCACCTCGCCACGCACTCCCCTTCTCACCGCAACACGCCAAGCAGCCCCCGCCGCGCCCGACAGGCCAAGCGCTAGCCGCCGCAGCCGCCCGACAGCCTCTGGCCATGTCGGCGCCGCCAAAGCCACTCCCGCTCGCCACCTGGCCCCTGGAGCAGCGCCCACTCGTCCACTAGCTCTTGCCGTCATCCCCAGCCACGCCACGTTGCCCTGCAAGCTACAGAGAGGCGGTTCACCGGAGAGCTTATCCGGCCGCCGCGGAACCGACCTCGACGAGCTATAAAAGGAGGCCCCCGAGCCTCCCCGTGCACACAGGAAGCCTTAGAATGCTCCCCTACTCCTCCCATGGCAGCAAATCGACCCGGGGGAGGTCTCCTTCCTCATCTCCGGCAACTGCAGCCGCCGCCACTGCCCCGGCCAATTCGGCACCACCAGGGCCTCCCACTCTCCGTTCTCTCCACCAAGAGCTTCCTCACCTTCCCGTGAGCCATCCCCACTACTCAATTTTGATCGGGACACACCGCGGGAGAAAAATCACTTTGCTCCCGAGGCCACCTCCGCCGAGAAGCTCGCCG